ACACTCAAAAGATGACATTTATGCATCCAACAGACACATGAAAAAATGCTCATCATCACTGGTCATCAGAGAAATGCAAATCAAAACCATCTCACACCAATTAGAATGGCGATCATTAAAAAGTCAGGAAACAACAGATGCTGGAGAGGATATGGAGAAATAGGAATGCTTTTACACTGTTTGTGGGAGTGTAAACTAGTTCAACCATTGTGGAAGACAGTGTGGGGATTCCTCAGGGATCTAGAACTAGAAATACCATTTGACCCAGGGATCCCATTACTGGGTATATACCCAAAGGATTATAAATCATGCTATTGTAAAGACACATGCACACGTGTGTTTATTGTGGCAGTATTGACAATAGCAAAGACTTGGAACCAACCCAAATGTCCATCAAGGATAGACTGGATTAAGAAATGTGGCACATATACACCCTGAAATACTATGCAGCCATATAAAAGGATGAGTTCATGTCCTTTTTAGGGACATGGACGAAGCTGGAAACCATCATTCTGAGCAAACTATCACAAGAACAGAAAACCAAACACCACATGTTCTCACTCATAGGCGGGAATTGAACAATGAGTACACTTGGACATAGGATGGGGAACATCACACACCAAGGCCTGTCAGGGTGGGGGGAGGGGGGAGGGGGGAGGGATAGGGTTAGGAGATATACCTAATGTAAATGACGAGTTAAAGGTGAAGCAAACCTACGTGGCACATGTATACATACGTAACAAACCTGCATGTTGTGCACATGTACCCTAGAACTTAGAATAATAATGAAAAAGTGCTGTTTTATTACTGCGTCTGATGAGAGGGAGAGGAACGTTAGTGATCCACACCTGTTTTCCCACCTGTTCAAGGCAGGCACCACACTCACTTTGCCTTCATGAGGGAAATATTGTGAAAAGCTACTCTAAGAAAACTTTTCTCAAACATTAATTTCCGGCCGGGCGCGGTGGCTCAAGCCTGTAATCCCAGCACTTTGGGAGGCCGAGACGGGCGGATCACGAGGTCAGGAGATCGAGACCATCCTGGCTAACACCGTGAAACCCCGTCTCTACTAAAAAAAAAATACAAAAAACTAGCCGGGCGAGGTGGCAGGCGCCTGTAGTCCCAGCTACTTGGGAGGCTGAGGCAGGAGAATGGCGTAAACCTGGGAGGCGGAGCTTGCAGTGAGCTGAGATCCCGCCACTGCACTCCAGCCTGGGCGACAGACCGAGACTCCGTCTCAAAAAACCAAACCAAAACAAAACAAAACAAAAAAAACTTCCGTGATCATCAAATCAGCCATTTCAGAGGATGCACGTGTTTAATTGGCTCAGATGGTGAGAAATGGAAGTACTGCCTTCCAAGGCTGGGGCAGCATCTGCAGCACTCACCTCACCATCCCCGTGACTCCAGCCCATCTCCTTAGGAGCTGCACAGGCCTCTTCTCACAGGGAAACAGGGTACACTCCCGCCAGAAATAGGCATCATGCGGACAGAATAGTAACTTGTTCTTTCCACAGGTCCAGGACCCGTGAGAATATAATCAGCAAATCTAGTGTGACCCACTGACTTGTAACAAGTGCAGCACCTCCTCAGATACCAGAAATAACGTCATCACCAGGCTCCTGACTTCATTCATACAAAAGAACCACTCACTTTGGCCCAAATTGAATGAACAAATTCTTCCTGATTTCAGTGAGGCATTTACTTTTTGGATGTGGACATTAACCAGACGAAGCAGTAGGAACAGTCTCAGATTTAGGGAAGTCACTCTGCCTTCGCAAAGCACTGAAGAATTTACCAGGCATTTGCCACACACCATCACCTCTGGCCCTCAATACACTCCTGAGAGGCAGACAACTTTGGAGCTGTTTAGTGTTGCAAACCTTGAAACCACCAAATCAGGAACTCATGCCTTCATCACCTTCCATGGCCCTTCCCGTGTCATTTGCACTGTCATGTACTTGCATCGTCTGCATGATTGAAAAAAAACATTGGGAACCTGGAGAAGAGGAGACATTAAACCTGGGTGCATCTCCCTGTGCCTTCCACGTGCTGTCTGTCTCTAGAGAGGCTTCCAGGCAGCTGAATGTGGAGTCTGTGTTTGTAGTCCAGCCAGGGCCAAGCCCTACAGTGGCAGCTGCTGGCAAGGCCCAGCCCCCTGACCCCACCACCTCCGGTCTCAGTGCCCCTGAAACGGGAAGGACATCTCAGGTACCCAACAGCTTCCCACCGCAGGCACCAGAGGCTCCCTGCTTTCTCTCGCTGTGAGGAAGTCTGCTCACCTCGAACTGAATGTTCCCAGGGGTGATACCCAGCTAGTTGGTGTCCATGAAAAAAGCTTCAGCTCTCCCTGTCCCTTTGCGGGGCGGTCCTCAGGTGTGCGCTGCATGCTTCCTGGAGGTCCAGGCAGCAAGCCTGGGGCCCCTCTCAGGGACCGCTCCCTTGCTTCAGCTTGTGTCCATGCTCTGTCCCACTCCTGCTTCCTGTGATCATCCTCCATATAGATCATCTGCATCCTAGTCTTGTCTCAGGCTCTGCTTTGGGGAAACCAAAATCAGTGCAATGCACATGATTTCTTATTCTTGTTTGTGCCCCCAAGGGCTGGGGGTAGAGTGGATATTTGTGGAATGACTTAATGGACAGCAACTCCACTTTCTCTATTCTGTGTTCTTAAGTAGTAGCCAAAGGCAGTAAATGATAATTTTTCTTCCCTTCCTCGAGGTGATAGCATGCACTACTTTCCACAGCTGCAAATCCTGTCTAGGGTGTAGGTAGTTTGTCACCAAAGAGACATGCCTTTGTTGGTAAAGAATTGCTTTTTACAAAGACTGGGGATGTTGTCCTCCATGCATGGGGGCAATGCCCTGATCTAGCAGTCTAACATTTCACAGACAGCAAGGTGTCATGGAAAGCTCAAACAGAACTCCAAAGCAAAAATGCAGATGCTGCTCAGGGATCAGAGGAGCCAAGTGTAACTTTTTGTTTGCCACGTGCTATTATTGCTGCTGCATCAACCCCTGCTACCATCGGGAGAAGGGACTGGACCCCAGGAACTGTAGTAAACGCTTGACACATCTTTTCTCATTTTACTATGAGAAAACCCCTACTGGGTGGGCACTGTGGTAATGCCATAGGGGGCATTTTTCTGCTCTGAAATTGTCAAATGGGACCCAAAGAAGAGTCCATCATATACCCAACAACCAAAAGAGAATTTCGGGGACTGGACTTGCTAATCTGGAGTTTTTAAAGACAGGATCTGGCTGACTCTGCTATGCCCAGGCATCGCCAGCTTCCTGATCCCAGGGAGGAGGGAGCTTTGGGGTCAGGCTCTTCCTCCATACCATGTCTGGAGACCGCTGGCACTATTTTTCACCCTGGGGTGCCTATGTGATGAACATTGGAAACCCAAAGCAGGACTGAGAGAGGGACAGTTGTCAGGCAGCCTGGAGGGTTGTCGTGGAGAAGATGAGGCTAGGCTAGACTCCCCTACCCAGGAGCAACCAGGGCTGCAGGAGGCGAACCATGACATGATGGAATGAATGCTTGTTTCTTACCTCCTGTCTCTATTACGAAATAAGCTCCCTATTTGTTACCCAGGGCTGCTGGCACATGTGCACTTTTTCATTACATCCTTTAATCCATGCACATGAGTTTTACATTTAATTCCCCATCATAATATACTTTACAATTAAATTTCAAAGGAAAGTTTAAAAAGGGAAAAAAGGATCTTTGGTGCTGTCTTTCCATTCTTTAAAGCTGTGGCTGACAGCTTCCCTCCCTTCTGCTCTTGCCTCTCCTCTCCTGGTCTTTCTTCTCTCATCTGCCCCCTCTTTTCCCTCCCCTTTCTTCCTTTTCCCTCCTGTTCTTCCTTCTTCTCTGCCTTCTTCCCAACACCATGCCCAGTGGCTGTTTTGAGTGCCTTGGTCTTCAGCCTTATGCTGCTAAAAGGGGACAGGATCGTATGTGAGTGGGGTTTGGACTCAGGTGTTGAAGACCTCTTGCAGAGCCCGCTGGTCTGTGTGCCTGACCCTAGTGCCTGGCCCCATCTATGAGACTAGGTAGGCTTCAAGTCTGGGCATGTACTCAGCCAGACAAGGAAGAGACATCCATTTCCATATGACATTGCCCCATGCCTACATCCTCCTCTACGTCTCCCAGGAGGTGTCATCAGGGACTGCGCTCAGGATGGAACTGGGGCATTGGAGGGTCTCTCGGCCATAATGTCACCATACACAAGACAGCTGAAGAGTCAGGGACAACATAAAACAATGAAAAATAGTGAATGATAGCTTGTCCTCTTGGGCTCCTGATGGCCATCCAGGGACCTTAGCATGGTCACTGACACTGTGCTGGGAATTTGCCATCTAAATGTCTAGATGACAAGGGTGAAGCTTCTGGAAGGGCAGGGATGCCTATCTGCCCCAAAGCCTGCCTCAGCATCCAGGCTTCTAGGGACTGACCCAAGTGCCCTGCCCTTTCTGGGCATGGCTGGGCATTTAGCAGTAGTGGGGTTGTGTACAGCCCTGCAGGGCCAGAGGCTCCCTGCTCAGCATAAAGAGAGAGGGGAGGTGAAAGGTGCATTTCAGAACATCTTGGTTTCCCCATGGCTGTTAGGTTGTTTAAAACATAAAACAAAACAAAAACTCATAAAGCAGGATTGTGTCTGTGTGGTTCCATGGTCATCTCTTCTGATGCATTCCAAGTCCTGGAAAGAGGAAGTGGTAGTTTTTTTTTTTTTTTTTTTTTTTTTTTTTTTTTTTGAGACGGAGTCTTGCTCTGTCACCCAGGCTGGAGTGCAGTGGCCGGATCTCAGCTCACTGCAAGCTCCGCCTCCCGGGTTCACGCCATTCTCCTGCCTCAGCCTCCCGAGTAGCTGGGACTACAGGCGCCCGCCACCTTGCCCGGCTATTTTTTTGTATTTTTTAGTAGAGACGGGGTTTCAACCGTGTTAGCCGGGATCGTCTCTCGATCTCCTGACCTCGTGATCCGCCCGTCTCGGCCTCCCAAAGTGCTGGGATTACAGGCTTGAGCCACCGCGCCCGGCGAGGAAGTGGTAGTTAATGGTGCAGACCAATGCTGGGTGTCAGAAGCAGACAGGATCTCTCACGAACCGCAGACCACACTCCATCGTCTGTCTGAACCTGGTCTTATGCTGCAAACCCAGGCTGTGCTGTCATGGCCAGCAGGTCTTTCCACCTCTAGCCTAGCACTCTGTTTCTAACCGGGCTTTTCCATTTGCCTTCTAGGAGTAAAATTGTTGGCTCATTTTTGAACTGGAGAGGCTGGGGAGTTTTGGAGGACCTGGGGTGGATTGTGACACCAGTGGAGAGTCCCTAAGTGGGAGGTAATAAATGTCATGAACAGGTATTTTTACTGGGTAGGTAGTTATTTCCATTTTAAAATGAGTAGAAGGTGACTCAGGGACATTAAGGCACCAACTGGAGTTCCCAGCTTATACGAGGCTCAGGTGGGACAGGCCTGGAGTAGGAGTCTGCCTACTGCTAGGGCTGGCATGCCAAAGAGGACATTTAGGAGACCTAAGACACTGAGGTGGCTCAGAGGTTCATATATGCCTGGCTGGGAAAACATAAAAACACCTGTTGTGGATGAAAGATCCTACAGTGCCTGGAGCACACTCCAGGAGAAAATGGAACACTTCCTGTGATGCTCACAAGCCCACTTCTGAAATCACAAGGGCAGAACTGCGGTCACAAAGATGCCTCTCCATCCAGCATCCTCCCATCGGAGCAGGACAGCCTCCAGGGCGGAGCCCCTCCAGGAGGAAACAGGAGCAAAACTGCAAATCCCACACCAGTCCCTTTGCGACGTGCTGTTTGACTGGTACTGTCTGAGTTTCCTCTGTCTGACACCTGTTTCTTGGCTCTGCCACGTGAATGTGAACAATTCCTCCCACTTTGACCTCCAGGCAGCTGCTGGTTTCGTGGGTGCCCCTGACTGACATGGCAACGGGTCTCTGCTTTCCACTCTAAAGTCAGTGTTCTCTCAAGGTAAGGTATTCACATGGGTTTTTGAGATGATGAAAGTCAAAAACCTTTCTTTCTAACCCAGGTAATGCCAATAGAGGAGATCTTATATCTCAAGGGCCTTGCTTGAGTGGTGCGGCTCTAGCTATAAATTCAATGCCTGAGTAGTTGGAAACTAATGCTTTAGGGCTGAATTACACAGAATTTTAGTGTTAAGGATAAGGATTACTTAAAATTGCCTGGTTTAATCACCAAGAATTTAACTCTTTTCTGACTTGGGAAATGTCTCTATTTACTGGAGAAATAAATTGATGAAGTACAGAAACACTGCGAGGGCACGTGAAGAAACCCTTCCCCAAGCTAAATACGATCAAAGAGCAGATGAGACCCCATGTGTTGCTCTCTTCCAAAGTGGACAGCTGGGTCCAACTTTAACGATGAAATGCTTTTCATCCTCCAGTCTAGCTGAGCACTCAAAGTAGACTCGGTAGAAATCTTTCCAAATTTTTGGTCTATATTTTTACTGAAAGATCAGTACTTATGGCAGAATCAGACATTTTCAGTTACATCAAAGTGTCTTCTAATTTAATAAAAGTAAAGAGTAACAATTTCATTTGGGATTTGAACTTGATTCAAATTATCCATGATTACATTATATAAATTAATAATTAATAATTATAAAACCTATTAATAATAATTAATAGATACCCACCAATATGGGTACCTAAAGCCACTAATACAATTTGATTAGTAACTTTTAAGGAACTGAAGCTTCCATTTCATCTGAGGAGCATGGAATGGTAAGAGAATGAGACTGGGTCAGAATCTCAGCTCTTCTAGAGGACTTGGGTCTCTAGCTGGTAGATGCTGAAAGTTACTATAGGGGCATGAGGTGGCACGATAGGTTTTTAATTTTGTAAAGATCCCTCTGGCTGTAGCATGAAGGTTCTGTTGGAAGAGGATAAAAGTAGAATCAGAGGGAAGGTGGGAGATGAACCAGTCAAGGTCCCAGTAGGAAAGACCCCATTGGCCAAACCCAACTAGTGGCCAAAGGGCAAAAGATGATGCATGCTTGCCTCCTGGGCATAAGCACATGGCAAAGGTCTAGCAGATTTCTGCACAGAGGGCTGCAAATCTGGTCTTGGTAATGGAGAGGAAGAGGGTTTCAACCGTTGGAGCCATAGTGAAGGCGGAGAGGAGAAAAGGAACTTGAGAGACGTTTAGGAGGATAAACAGCCACGAGAGTGATTGCTGGACATGATTGTGATGAGTTCAGGGAGGGAAGTGTCAGATAACTCCCAAGTTTTCTGGCTTCTTTTATGGATGAATGGTGGCATCATTCATTGGGATTAGGAACACCTGTTGCATGCCAAGAACTTCCTCAACATTGTTTACATCATTCCCAGAACACAAAAATCTACCAGATACTATTTTCTCCATTTTGCACGGGGGAAAGCTGAGGTTTAGATAAATTAACTTACTAGGGTCAAAGATCTAAAGAGTGCTGGAATTAACATTAAAACTCAGGTACGGTAGAACCCCAAATCAATGCTCTTAATCACCTTGACCCCTGGCCTTCTTAGTACAGAAAATGCAGGAGCAATATTTTAGTTAAGAACAAAATAAGGTTCCATGAAAGCCTCAAGTTGAAAAATCCATTTGAACTTTTAAGGAAGTGGCTCAGTGAGAATGCAGTACCAAGAGAGGATGGGGGTGGGGTGAGGGGAGCACTCCATTTCAGGGACTGACAACCCTACTGGAGGAAGCGCTCAGAGTAAGTGCTGTACCAAAGGAGGATGGCCATGGGGTGAGGGGAGCACTCCATTTCAGGAACTGGTAACCCTGCTGGAGGAAGTGCTCAGAGTGACTGCGGTACAAGAGAAGATGGGCGTGGGGTGAGCCAACAACTCCAACTCATGGGCTGGCAACCCTGCTGGGTGCAGAAGTTGCTCTGCATGAACTGCCTTGCCACAGTCGGGTTCCGAAGATCCCCTTGCTCCCTTGTGAGAGTTTGGAATTAGTCGCTAGAAGGCCAGGCATCAGGACTTTCACCCATCATTGTAGTGAGCCATGGTCTTTCTAGAGTTTGGAGGTTATTCAGGTCCCTGTGACTGTCTTGGTTTAAGACCCTCATTGGCCCTGACTGCTCAGAGAAGAAAGCCCAAATGAGCTCACCAGGCTTTGAAGCCTCTTCAGGGCGTCCTTCCATCCTGCCTTCCCAGTGTGAGTTCCCATCATGCAACCCCAGCTTTCTCTGTGCACTGTGCATGTCCTGTCACTCAGCCTTTGGCCCCTCAGTGACTGCTCTCCAGAATGCCTCTCCTTCCTTTCACATGTTCACATCCTACTGACAAAGCCGCTCCTTTTTTCTTCCAGCCGAACTCCGTTCTTCTTGACTCAAGGAAAGTACTATTGTCTAGGACGAGCAGTGGGTGGTGGATGTTTGACAACCAGCTCTCCAGACAGGGTGGGAGGTGCTGGTGGAAAGACCAACTTGTAGCACTTGGCGATTTCCGCCCTCTCACCGTGGCCAATTTTAAGCTACCAACAGTTTAACAGTGGGTTTAGAGTTCTGGCAAATTGAACAGCTGGCTCTCACCAAGCACCGGCACACTGCTCCTGAGACTCACCACAGAGATTTAGCTGGTGTGGGGTGTGGCCTGACTCAAACGTTTTACAAAGTTCCCCTGGGTGGTTCTCGTGTGCAGCGAGACCATGTAACAGTACTCAGTTGCATGGTGACATCTCTGGGAGCTTAAGACAGTTCCAATCCTACACCACACTCCTGTGGGTCCTGATTTAACTGGTCTCTGGGCCCAGGGCCCTGGTATGCCTACTGCTTCCCAGGTGATGCTTAGGTACGCCCTGGGTCAACAGTCAACATCACTGCCATTCCCTGTACCTCTGTTATCCGTGCTTCCCTTCTATCGTGGTTGGCTACACACAGGTCTCATCTTCCAGTCAGGCTGTAAACACCCGAATCATGGCTCCCTGAGGCTTTCAGAAATGAAATCATATCACAATTAGAGTTTATTTAGAAATGAGCCACGCTGATGCACAAAGCACTCATTTCCCATCTGCCGAATACCTGAAGGAGAGGAGCTTGCTGCCTGACTCTCCAGGGCTCTGGCCTCAGCCCCACACAGCCCTCACGGCGAGCTCGCAGAGGTCCCAGGAGAAACTGACACCTGCTCAGGAGCTCTCTGCAGAACCCTCCTCCCTGCCCGTGTGCTTATCCACTAATGCAGGGGACCCATCTCACACCTGCCTCCATCTGCAGCATTCACCGTCTCTGTCACTCGGTGAAGCTCAGGAGTCCAGGGCGGTTCTGCCTCCCATCTGTGCAGCAATGAAGATTATTCACACTCACTTTACTGCACTTGGTATTAACCCCACACCTCACCCCACTGCACCATCGAGCTGCTAAACAGCATATCCAGGTTGCTGGGTCTTCAGCTCTCAGACCCTCCTGAATGTGAATGGTTCATGCCAAGAGGAACGTGAGGTCACCTTTTACCTGAAGGCAACTCAGGGGAACACAGTTCTGGCCTTTATACATAGTTGGTTGGAGGTCCTGGGAAGTCAGGGTTGGAGAGTGTCTGGAGCAGGCACCAGGGACTGGCATTTGTTTTCCTGGGCACCTGGCATGACAGAAATAGGAAACTGTCTAAGCTGTTTATATTCGATTCTCGGCCCTTTAACTGAGCAGCTTTGACTCGCAGCAGTAATGATTTGTTCTTTTCTTTTATCTTATTTATTAACTGCTCTTCCCTCACCACGGTGTGGGGATGTTTCCCTTCACAGTTTCACAGCCCCTTAAATCTGTTTAAAATTCACAGTGGAATTAGAGAGGTTTCAGGTGCCCTGGTCAGAATCTACATAGCTTTCTCCCAGAGGCATGTTTCAGAGGATCTGAATAGAAGGAACCAACCAACATTTACTGATCACCTACTCCATGCATGCTAAGCAGCATCTAGGGCTTAATTTAACTGGCACTACAATAATGTAACTTAAGTACAATTGTCCCCATTTAATTGAAAAGAAAATTGAGGCTCACAAAATTAGCAGAACAAGTACGTGAGTCAGATTTGCAGCCACGTTTCTCAGGCTCGGGGGTCCTCTTTACTGCACATCAATACTCGAAATGTTGCAGGCGTCCTGTGGACCTGGAGCGGCAGATTGTGAATTTCCCAAAGTGTGTCCCCTGGGCACGCGTCAACCAGCTTAAGTGTTTATTTCATAAACATGATGATTCCTGGGCCCCAATCTGGTTTCATAGTCAGTAAGTCTAGGGGGGCTCAGGAATCTGTATTTTTAACAAGCAGCCCCTCCTTACATTTTCCTAAACATGGAACATTGAAGCTAGTAGATTAGAGAATATTTGTGAGCAAAATCTTCACTGAAGTTTACTTCAGTGAAGTCATTGATTATATGAGATTGATTATATGAGATTTATTTCAGAACTTAAGCCAAGTGATGCATCCTTTGAGCTATTCGAAGAATCATGTTTTCTTACAATTCAATCAATACAATTTCAAAAATTCAGTCAGGAGCCGTGAGTGCAGTCCTGTGTCATCCGCTATGAAATTCAATGAGTCTGGGAAAGCCCTCATCTTCTCTGGATCCTACAGGAAAGGAGGTGCTTGCTGTGACCTTTGCAGCTCAGAGCTGCTTCCAACAATTGTCGAAGTGGAGTAGTGAGTCGTCCCTGACAATGAGGGAAGTTGCTACTTCAATGGATTTGTCCATCAACAGTTGTGGTTTGAAAACGTGCACCATCAAACACCCCTCCCATGCTGGGATTCCCTTTGAACCAAGAATATCTTTTTCATTTTGAGATCAAGAGGCTAAATCTAATGTCAGGAGAGTCTAGAGAATTCTGTTTAAAGGACAATGTCTTTAATCCGTTTTGTGCTAATATAACAGTATACCTGAGACTGGGTAATGTACAAAGAAAATAAATTCATTTCCTCACAGTTCTGGTGGCTGAGAAGTTCAAGATCAAGTTACTAGCATCTTCTGAAGGCCTTCTCACTGTGTCCTCACATGGTGGAAGGTAGAAAGACAGACAGACAGACAGAGAGAGAGAGAGAGAGAGAAAGAGAGGCTGAACTTAGTCTGTTATAAAGAACCTACTCTCAGGACCACAACATTAACTCATTCATGAGGGTGGAGTCCTCATGGCCTAATCACCTCTTAAAAGTCCCACCACTCAATCCTGTTACATTGGGGACTAAGTTTCTAATACATGCTTTTTGGGGAACACATTCAAACCATAGCAGACAAATTGAGCAATTCCATTTCCTAAAAGCATTTGTGGATTGTTAATAAAAAAATTACTTATTGCAGTGGAGAAGTCTCATAAAACTGGCTTGCACTCTAACATGAGCAAAAGGTTATTGAATTGGTTAACATGGAAGGCAGGCTAGAAACACATTGGTGTCTTACGGAAGAACAGAAACGCTGTGTGTGACTGGCTGAGAGGGCCTTTCCTACGTCTGCAGTAGGTAGGGCAGGCCACAGACAGAAATGCTTAGATTCAGAAGTGGACCAGGAAGGCTCCGGGATGCTCTGGTACTGGTGCAGCATCAGGAAGAAGTGTGAGCTCTCCCTGGGGCCGTATTCCTAGGAACGTGGCTGCAGCAGAAACATGTGGTTGTAGGAAAAAGCCTGTGAGCCCCCAGGACTGTATACGCTGTGCCCCACTCCCTCTGACCCATTCACTATGATTTGCTTTGCAGGGTCCTCCCCATCCCCTTCCACACAAGCCTTGTGCAGCGTAACCATTGGAACTTTCCAAGTTCCTTCTGAGAACATTTCAGTAACCTCAAAAATAGGAAGACAAGAGCTCAGTTTCCACCACAACCTCTCACAATGAAGTCAACTTGCAAATCAAATTCTCCCGCACAGGCAAACATATCTGGGCAGTCAAGCATAAGATGCCCATGTGACCTGCATGCTGTCTTGCATGAACTCTTGCAAGGCAAAGATGGTGCAGTGCCCAGTGGCAGCAGCCTCTGTGCAGCATTTCCAACCAATCCTGCTTCAAATAAAATATGATTTATCACTCCTTCGTGTTGACTAACGATCCTTCCTGCGCACATAGACTGAGATGGGAAGCCCTGAAAAGTGAGCTCCCTCCTTTCTGGGTTTTTTCAGATGCAAACTGGCTACCTACAGAGAGTACAACTGATTAAGGACTGTGCAAGTGGATCATAGATCACCCGTGTGCAGATTAAAACAGATGCACACAGACACTCACCCCCACACACACAAAACACACACACACACACACACACACACACACAGAGTCTATGCTGTTGTCCTGTGGAGTAAATCACACATGCTGCATTTCCAGAGTGTCACTTGCATCATCATACAAACAAGTTCTAGGGTCTCCCACTCCAAATATTGTTTCCATATTCTCCCTTTCCCTTCTCCCTTGAAACCACTGAAATCAGTCCTCCAGTATTATGGTTTCTCTGAAACCGCTTTAAGATCATTGACGATTTCAACGTTGCTGAATCCGTTAGACATAATTCCAGTCTCTGCCCAATCCTCTGCTGTGTTTAACTTCTCACCACCTCCTCCCACTATCATTCCATAAGGAAGCCTCTGGCATTGCTCACCCTGACTGGCTTTCCTTCTCAGTGTCCTATTCACAGCCTCCTTTTCTATAGTGCCATTAAAGTTTGCAGATCCTTACAGGTCAGGCCTGGTTTCTCCTCCAGGCACACTCTCCCTGGGAGAACCTGTTCATCCCTACAACACTAACAACGATTTCCATCCTAATAACTTCCATCCTACTCCCAATATTTTGGATATTGTGATGGTAGTCACTGCATGTACATCTCTTCCATATTCTCAGCGTATCCCTCAATGGCCTTAGGCCTTTGGAGTACCAAGATAATATAAAGGAGAGACATCAACTGACCCCATGACATTAGGAGATAAGACTGCATTCAGCATTGTTTCCTCGGGGATGTGACAGAACAGTAGAACTCTGGCTCACAGAAATCAGAAATTACCTTCTATCAGCACCAATGTCACCAACTCTCCTACATCCTTCCTCCCCTCCCTAACACCAACCCAGCAGAAAAGGCCCCTGAGGGGAGGTCCCCTGTCTAACTTGCTCTGTGGACTACATACTGTCTAATATTCAGTATGAGTTTCTCGTATGTTTGCTTTGGGCTTTGGAGATCCCACATTATTTACATTTTTACATCTGAAGACCGGGCTTTCCTTGTTACTGTTGAGAGAAAAACAAGCCAGTTCTACACCAATTTAGTTGAGGCAACAGCAAGAGCCTTAAGATCAATAGAAAGGTCCCAACTAAAGATGTCGCTGCCAAGTGACAAACAGTTCGGGCACTGCACCCGACTGAGCCATGTCGGATTTTGTTACTCGATATACTGTTTGAATTTGGGCAAGTGGGCGGGTCCCATTGAGGCTTAAGTTGTGGCGAGTAACAGGGCTCATTTTGGGACCTTTTGCTACCGTGCAATGTTGTAAGGCTGAGGTTAAACAATACGTGAAAGTATTTAGCAGAATGCCTGGAATGAAGTAGAAGTACCTGCCTACTAATCCTCAAGTCTTGTGGCTGAAAAAGGAAGTGACCGGTGGATTCACAAGTGCCCTGCTCTGTTTTCCTGAATACAGTGAGCCTGAGTCTTTGTGGGATCAACCCCTGCAGGACCCTCCCTGTCAATACTCCTTGGCAGGGTGAACAAAGCGCTGTTGTCTAAAAAGCAGGGGAGGAGGGTGCCTGGTGGGCAGGACAGCGAGGGCCTGGTTGATGCACCAGTGTAAATGGAGAGCCTGAGCAACAGTTAGAGTAGAGTAGAGAGCAATGCTGACCTTGGATTCCATCAGCTAAGTACTCGTCTCTTGGGTGATATTGATTCAACTTCCCACATGCTGTAGATAAGGAAGAATGCCCTCTCATAGTCAGTGAATAAACTAGCACAAAATGGATGGCATTGGGCCAGGTGCCGTGGTGCACTCCTGTAATCCCAACATTTTAGGAGGTCAAGGTGAGAGGATTGCTTGAGGCCAAGAGTGTGACACCAGCCTGGGCAACATAGTGAAATCCCTATGAAGGAAGAAATGATGACTGGCATTGTGGAAAGAGAGCTCTATTAAAAAAATGACATTAGAAAGACTCATGTGACATCATCTAAAGAGACAATATAGACTGACCCCAAGTCAGGTAACAATTTGACTTAGCTTTAAATAAAATGCTATAATCGGTTAAGAGAGAGAAGTGTTGGTCAGCAGACAGTGTGTAAATATTAGATCAAGTGTCATTGAAGCAAATGTTGAAAGCATCCATCTATGAACTGCCCAGGGTCTGGATGGGAGATCTCTAGCTATTGACGCTTCTTGAATGATCCAGCGCTTTCTTGTGATTTCATGCCCTCCTGAGCAGCCTTCACATGATGATTTTGATGCTTTTTGTGCATACAGAAATCATTTGCTAAAGATTTCTGGATGAGCTGTCTGGTTAACCTGAGGATTATAGTTTTTGCTATAGGTTCCTCAATGGCCTCCTTGTTTATACATCTGGATCTTGTGAGTTCTGCAAGTGTGCATCTGTACCTGAGTGGCAGGTTTACACTCTGAGAGTTGATAAGATTAGATCCTCGAGCCTATAAAGCTGTTGAGCACAGGCACAGTGAAATGTCATTTGACAGACTTTTTGGCAGTCTGCCCAGCTGGGAAAAACAGATTGGCCCCACTTTCCTTCAAACCACAGGTCAGGATAGAGGCTGCTCAAAGATGCTCAAACAATGCTGGGGAGCCATCATCAAAAATCCACAACAAATGATTCTCACTTTGTTTTGTCCTACAGGGTGCACATCCTTCATTTCTGCATGTTAATGAGACTGACATATGCAGTCCATCTTGTCCCAGCCCTACTGGAATGCCACGGCATCTGCAAGCAAACAACAAAATAATCTTGCTTAAGAAAAACAAGTATGAAGCTCTCCATCTAAAAATCACATGTAGACCTGGCGGGGTAGAGTATACCGGAACTGAAACTGAAAACATAAATTGTTCTCTTGGAGGTAGCATGGAGCTATTACTGCCTGCCTGCATCCAGTGCTGTCAGATACAAATTTATGGCAGCACCGCACAGCCACTGCGTCACCCACATGCTTGAGCCAGCACGCGGGCCACCACTGTGGCTCTGCGACTGCCTCCCCTGGCCCCAGCCAGTGGGTTTGTAGGATCTCAGAGTGGGAACCATGTTTATTCATTAGGGGGTGTCAGTGGGTTCTGTCCCCAGTGGAGGTGGAGTAGGAAGCCAATGTGGAGAATAGGGAGATTGGGAATAAAGATGGATCCAATTATTTTTAAGAAAAACTCTCAGGCAGGTGACTGAAAATATTTTTAAAAGAAGGTGCAGAGGATGACATACTGTGTGATTCTTTGCTCAACCAGACGCTGGTCTTGGTAAGCCATACGCTCAGAAAATCCTGGTAATCTGAAGAAGTTTGAAACAGCTTAGGGAAAGCAGGCAATCAGCCCCCGTGAAAATCAGAAGCAGGGAACAGCTGAAACAGGAGTCATGACCCAGCGTGGAGCCTCCATTTCTTCATTTTCCAGGCACTGGGAACTACCTGGCAGCTTTGGTTTCTATGTTGTGGGGCTTGGTAATCTCTGGAGGTGCTTTATTTCCAGAATTTCCTCCGAAATGTATCCTCCTCCTTCCACCCAGTCAAATATGCGGTGCATCAGAGGATGAAGGTGGTGGGGCAGAAAGAGAAAAGCTTGAGAGATGTCCTGGCTTTTGTGTCTACACCCTGAGCTCCTGGAGTATTTCACAAGACATGTGAAGGAGGGAGACGGGCAGAAATTTTGTGGCAGAAGCCAAGCGTCCCGGGAGAAACAAGGGTGCAAGGAACTTCTCCTATACCAGAGACAGAGAGAGATTTTCCTAGGCTAGAAGGGGAGCGAGAGCTGTCCAGGAGTTGAGGGAGGTCTCTACAACTTAGTGCAGTGGAGAAGATTGCCAGGTTCTCTGTAGCAAGCTAGGAGATAGCGTGGCCCCAGAAAGATGCATCTGGGACATGGGGTACCTCACAGATTCCCTCACTCTGCTGTGGCCATGGATATAAATGGATCCCAAAGGCAGGCACAGCGGCCTTCCATGGAAACCTGAGCAGGTAGATAAGGATGCCTGAGTTTCCTACCCCACACACCCCTTCCTGCTACTTTGTAGCTCATGAGCTTGGAAACACGATGTGTTCCTATTGGTGGCACTCTAAGACTTAATGAGATGCATTTCCAGCCAACCCAGTGAGATGGGATTTAAAGTCCAGATTGAGCTGGAAGTTGCAGATACAGAGCTACCCTTACCTGAAGTGCCCAAGAGTCCATGTTTCTTAGGTCAAGAAGAGAGCACCTCTTTCTCACTTCTTTCTCTGCTAGATGGAGAGGAATTAATGCAAAGGACCCTGATGCCAGTGGCTCCAAGGGCTACAGCCTAATGCACGGTGGGCTTCCTCCCATAGAAAGTTAGTTGCGATGGGACCAGGAAGCTGGAAAGGTTTAGGGAACAATACTATATCAGAGTTCGCCCAGTTGGTTTAAATGAAGAGACTTTAGTGAAATGATCATTTAGAGGTGAGGAACAGCGCTATGGAAGAAAATCAGGTGTGGTTAAGCACCTGCAGCCAGCAGTGACAGGAGGTTGTGTTACTGTCCTTAAGGCCTCGTGAACAGAAAGTGAGAGAGGGTTACTGTAGCCTGGTGAGCTGTGAGCTGTGGAAAAGGTCATCCAGTGGGAGCTGCATGTGCAGAGGACACAGTCACCATCAGGACGAGGTGCTGGGGCGGGGAGGTATTCAGAAAGAAACACCCGGTTTCTCTCTACTCTGGCTCTCCAATGCCCTTCTGGTGCCTTCTGTTGGTCAGACTTAACCAGAAACATGCAAGTCTGGAGTTAGCCTTACAGTCTACATGTATCCTCCTTGGGCACACAGCATGGCAGAAAAGGTTGAAGAATGAATCTGGGGCAGAAAACAAAGAATGATGAAGGCTGATGCTAAGGTCTGTCAAGTGCATGGTCCAAGCTTACACCTTTAATTTCTTTTGGGCATATACCTACCAGTGGGATTGCTGGATCATATGGTGGCTCTATTTGCAGTTTTGTCCTCCATAGTGATTGTACTAATTTACATTCCCACCAATAGCATTCAAGCGTTCACTTTTCTTCACAGCCTCGTCAGCATTTGTTTTTGTCTGTCTTTTGGATAGAGGCCGTTTTAACTGGAGGGAGATAATACCTCATTGTAGTTTTGATTTGCATTTCTCTGTTAATCAATGATGTTGAGTGCCTTTTCAAATGCCTGTTTGCTATTTGTATGTCTTCTTCTGAGAAATATCTATTCAGATCTTTTGACATTTTATGATCAGATTATTAGGTTTTTCCCTGTGGAGTTGTTTGAGCTCCTTCTATATTCTGTTTATTAATCCCTTGTCAGATGGGTAGTCGGCAAAATTTGTTCTTCCATTTTGTGGGTTGTCTCTTCACTTTGTTGACTGCTTCCTTTGCTGTGCAGAAGCTTTGTAACTTGATGTGACCCCATTTGTCCATGTTTGCTTTGGTTGCCTGTGCTCAATGAATAGTTCAAGTCCTGGAACCAAAATGATGTTCCCTGGAGCCGGAGGGCAAATGAGTAAGAAAGACATCTGGAGAAATTTCAGGGTCGGTTTGGAAGCTGTTATCTTAAGTTGGGCTTGAAGGATGTCATTTTATTTGCAGCAGGTCAGTGCATCCTCAGGGGAGTGAGGGGAGCTGGAGTCACACAGTCTCTATGTGCTGTTTCACAAGAGCTGCACTGAAGCCTGCTCAGCAGCCACTCCCAGGGCATGGAGTCCACAGCCTGGGAGCTTTGTCTTTGTCTTCTGCTGAGCTGGGGCTTGTCCCCAGCATCCCACAGCCCAGCTTTTCTGGTGAGTGGGAATGTTGGCATGAATCCCCAGGAAGTCTTTATCATACATGTTAATGTCTGGACCAAAAGCTGTTTCAGTCAAAACAATGAGTCACCTCTAAAACACTCCGTTCAAAACTACAACATTCAGTTCTCACTTTTATCACCCATAAAATAGGAGTTAAACTCAGGTCAAGATATCAAGAGGGAATGAGAGATAATGTATAATTTGGTGGCAGAAAATAGGCTAAGAATATGTTGGCAAAAGAAAAATAGGAGAGAGTTTGGCAAGAGGTAAGAAGGGAAGCAACTGAGTCCAGGAGAATGGTGTTGGACAGAGGGAGAGGTCCAGGGAGAGGCAGGGAGGTAAAGGGAGACTGTAAAACTCAGAGAGGCTTCTGAGAAGGGAGAAGTGACAGACCTTGAAGTGAGATTACAGGCTGTGAAGAAAAGAAGGGGAGGAAGGTGGTAGGAAGACAGCTAGAAAGTGGGGTGGGAAATGGTTAAGAGAGAGACAGAAACATAATTAGGAGAGAAATTCGTGACACAATATTCCTATAAAACAGATATTTGGCATAGGTTCCTCTGGAAAATGTGACTAATTGTAACTCACATATATTAAGTTAAAATTCACTTATTTACAAATGCTATAATTTGAGGATGAATATAATTTCTTTATAAAAGTCAAGCAGTACAGAGTTGAACTCTCAAGGAAATAATTAGGACAATAATAATAATTTAAAAAGTCAGGCACCAGAATTAACCCAGAATTAGAATAATGATGTGGGATCAGATGGCACCAGAGTTGGGATGGGACTCCAGTCTCATCATTTAGCTGTCTGCCTCTGAGCAGCTGGCAGCACATGGAGCTCAGAGCTCAGGGCAACTGGGGGAATCTGCAAACACAGGACCGCGTGTGAGGTGGGGAGGTCTGCATAGGGGCCTTGCTGCTGGGCTGGGGAGTTGTCAGTTCAAATGCACATGTGCACACACGTACACACACACAACACACATACACACACAAATATACTACACACACACAGATATCTACACAAACAAATATACATGATATATATATATATATGCACACCCACGCATATACACACACATTTATATACACACAAATATACACACATATATACACACACATATACACATACAAATATATATGTACAAATATACACACACTCCCACATATATGCACACAAATATATATATACACACAAATATACACACACATAAATACACACACTATACATATACACACATGTATACACACACCCATACATATATACACACAAATATACATGTACAAACAAATATATATACATGCAGATGTATGCATACACATATATACATACAAATATGTATGCACACAAATACATTAATATACATACACAAGTATGTATGTCCACACAAATATACACACTATATATATACACACATCCACACATATATATACACACAAATATATACACACACACACACATACACATTTATATACACAGAATATATTAGTCTGTTTTCATGCTGCTGATAAAGATATACCTGAGACTGGGAAGAAAAAGAGGTTTAATTGGACTTATAGTTCCACATGGCTGGGGAGGCCTCAGAATCATGGCAGGAGGTGAACGGCACTTCTTACATGGCAGCAGCAAGAGAAAAATGAGGAAGAAGCAAAAGCAGAAACCCCTGATAAACCCAGCAGATCTCATGAGACTTATTCACTATCACGAGAATAGCACAAGAAAGACCAGCACCCATGATTCAATTACCTGCCCTCGGGTCCCTCCCACAACACGTGGGAATCCTGGGAGATACAATTGAAGCTGAGATTTGAATGGGGACACGCCAAACCATATCACACACAAATATATATATACACACACACACAGAAATACATTATACACACACATATATATACACACACACTAGTACACACACTATATACACACTCATATATACACACACCCATACATATATACATACACAAATATATATACACACATATATGCACATTTATATACACACACAAATATATGTGTGCACATTGAAATATATGCACACACATGCATATTTATATACACACGAATATATATGCAGATATATTATACACACATTTATATACACACAAATATATACATACACAAATATACACATGTATATTATACACACTTTTATATACACACAACTATGTACACACAAATAAATATACACACAAACATATATATGAAATTATATATGTATGTATTTGATGGATGTTTAATGCCCAAATTATGGACAAAAAATATTAAGATAGAGACAGACAACTGAATATAAAATTGGACAGAAACCTTGAAGAAGTCCTTTCTAAAAAAGCATTCAAGTGGCCAATTAGCATGTGGAGAGGTACATTGCCACACTGGCCAACAAGGAAATGCAAATACA